ATCAGTGACCAAACGATACAGAGGCTACTCAAAAATGCACTAAAAAAAATTGAGAGAGAATAATGACCTATATTGATATCGTACAATTTTTTGGCTTACCTCCATCAAGCAATGATAATACCAAGTTGGAAAAAATATCATCGTTTCCTGATAACCTATTTTGAAAATTTGATAATTTTTCTCAATCACCAGCGAACCAAGATATACTCATTCGAATACAGTATATTTATATAAGAATGAATTGACTCACGTTCATATTGAATTTTGGGATGGATTTTCGAGCTTCTCGGTCATTGATAGTATCTAACATTGATTCAGATTTCAATTACATACCCTTTTTTCATATAATCAAACACCACTTTCATGGTTCACCGTTCACCACATAAAAGAACTCTCATTACATTATCAAGCACATAAAACCTGTGCTAAGTAAAACAAAACCGAGCACATGCTCATGAAGAAAGTTGAGGGAACGATACAGCGCCTGGTAAAATCGCGAACTTGAACTAAAGACCTCTTCAATTGGCGGTTTTTTCGTCGAACCACTTTTTTAAGTCTCGTACCGTTATGTAGATATAAACAAATTACTGACATTTATTCAGTTATTAAAGCGTGAATAAACAGTTCACTTAGGCGAATGGACCTGATTATTTTATTTCAAAGATGACAAGAGCTTACCACTTTTGATATGAACGTGACGTCAAAAACCAATATTTGGGTCGTTGAATCAAATCCAATTTTCTGCATTTTTTACATATTTTGATAGTGCTCGTCATTACATTGGCAAAATTTTTGAAGCGATAGCATTTACCGTTATCAAGATAGGCGACTTCCAAAATGTGTGTTTGTCGAAAGCTAGTGTGACGTCACAAGATATGTGTGAATGTCGGTACATTATCTGGGCCTCAGCTGAACTGTTATAAAGTGAATCAATCATTCAATGTTTGACGTTTGAATGACAAATCATGAACTCTACCTCTTATTCCATAAGCGTTCAGTTTTTTCAATAGAATGTCATGTGAAACAGTATCGAATGCTTTAGAGAGGTCTATGTAAATTTCTTTTCTAACTAAACGGGTTTCCACTGTAATCAACGTTTACTTGCATTTAGTAGATGTTGATCTGATGTGTCGTTAATATTGTACACACCTAACAGTTTCCGGTCCGACAAGTTCACATTCCCATCCTTCACAGATAATCTTGAACTTATTGAACACCTTTGGTACCTACTACGATGAATATCGGTTAATGAAACTGTTAAAAGTTTATGGTATTGAAAATTATGTTACATATGAATACAATTTTTCTCCTATTATTCTCGTAGTATTCTGCCGACAGAGAATAGTATTTTTTTTAGGATTTCAAGACTTTCGAAAATTTCAGAAGTAGTACGACAGTTTCTGAGAATATCCAGAAATCAACACTTCGGCTCACCCCCTTTTTTATTTTAGGAGAGGAGACGTTCGAAGATTTAATGAGGTTACAAGAATAAAAAATCTCACAGAAAATAAAAATATGAGGACCAATAATTAAAATTCTGGGAAGAAATGCAGCCTGGCTGAATCAATAATCATTTTTTGAAAATATGTATGGAACAGAGCTAACCTCTCTACATCCGAGAGGATGAGAACTTAAAGTTATATTGTTTTTATACTATATTTATATTATGACAAAATACTTTACTCAACTCAGCAATTATTTCTTCTTTATTCCTACTTATGTTTCCAGTTTGTTATGAGAATAATAAACAAATTGTTTGTTGAAATTGTGTTTCAGTCAATCATGATTTATTTCATGAGTTGAATTTATTTTCCTTCCTTCTTGTTTACGTGTATTTTTAGCTATTCAACCTTTCATCTGTGCCTTAATTTGTTTCTGTTCGTGCTCCTTTTCCTCATTTCTTCGATCATATTACTTCTTTTTTGATCTACTTCATTTTACCAATTTTACTCCTTTCGTTTCTGGGGTATTTTTCTGCAACTATATACTCTCTCAACTGTATTATCGCGGTTTTTCTCATCAAAGATGCATACTACTTGTTTCTTTTCAATTTTGTTTAGAATGGTATTTATCTGCTATCTCATTTTCTTCTTCCTCAACTTGTGAATGTTAGTTTTCCGGCAATTTCCCTAAGATATTCTATTTCCATGACTATTTGAATTTCTTATTTCTTTTCAAATTGTTCTTCATCGCCTTACATATGTTACCTATTGTTAGGATGATATTTTTATCAAAGATTGGGTTATTTGGGGCGTAATACGAGTATAAATGATCAACAAAACTGAACAAATAATGAATGGTAAAACAAAGTACTTTTCCCAATATTTCTATCTTTTTCATGGTCACGTCCATTGATAAATTATCCTTCAAAAACAGACCAATACTTTTATGATTCCCGGTGAAACAATCCAAAATAGACAGATACTAAAGATAGTCCACTGACTGAATAATTTGAAAATACTTCAAATGTAGATTTTATCAAAATGAAAGATGATTGAAGAAAAAGATTACCATAAAAAAATATTACAAAAAGATCACTTGAAATGTTTCCATTCAGAAATACCAACGATTCAATTCAAATATTCATTTTTGAGATTTAGATCGAGTGCATAAACAGTACCCCAGACCTATTGAAAATTCTTTTCTTGTGCCAGAACAACAATAATGTCTCTTGATGTGCGTTTCTCCAACTAGGAGACAACTAAAACTGAATCTTTCAGTTTGTTTTTATATACATTACGAGAAAGCATCGCCTTACATAATGGAGGTTGTTGAATTGATCGAATTGAATCATTCACTTACTGTGTAATTTTGATATTGCTCCTGATATTGATTGCTAACCGTTAAGATACCTAATATTTACCTGTTTTCAACCTGTTATTATTACATAAGACAGTCATCAAGGGAATGTTTAGAATTTGGCCTTTGTCGCTGTTCATAGATCTCTTTCTTCATTTTTCTCTATGGCATGTTGAGAAACTTTCTCAACATTTTTAACGGTTATCAATGTGCTGGGGCTTCCAGGGCGAGCGACGTTTTTCACATCTTCTCGGCCTTGTAAGCTTGTACCGCCGTAAACATTTTTCAGACTCCGAGTGCAATCACCTCATGCCACTATCAACATTTCAAAATTTTATCAAACTCTTTGAAAAATTTTTTTCGACAGCAAAAAATTACCTAATTCGCCAAACACTTGTAACTTGTATGCCTCTCACCAACAAACTAAACATGCTAAACAGCTGAATATGTGAACATATGATCGAGACGAATATACCAACATGAAAACAAATTTAAAAAATCACTAATCAAATTTACCTAGCCCCAAAAATATTAACATTCACCATATTTTTTGAACAGTCCACGTATATATAGCAAAGTATATGATGTTCAGCAAATAATAATGCTAGTATCATTGATACTAGCAGAATATCATAAAATCAATAATATCTGAAAAAAGATGAAACAAATGTTGAAGAATAATGAGTAAAAACACATATTTGTATGAGTAGCACTTTTTCACATAATTGAAAGACAGAATATTGAATATTGTTGTGGACTTGGCCGCCCGACTCACGATCGGAAGGCCGTGGGTTCGATTCCTACCTCGACCAGATATTTTTCCCGAGAGAATTTATCTGGTTGAAGCTGGGATGATTCTTGAAATGATGAAATGCACCACGAAACATTGTCAACCACCTTCAAACAAAATCAACATGTTTCAATTTTCTTGATAAATATCTAGTTAGGGAAGGGAAGTGAAAAGTTTTAAATGTGCAACTTGTATAATGTAAGAGTCCAGTAAAATTTCAAGAGGTACAAACCGGAATGATATACTTTTCGGAACTGGTTTAGCGCCAACTTTGACATACTGGTCTAGATACGAATCACAAAATAATACATTTTATTGGCGATTTGTTAATGAAACCCGTATTATCATCACGAATACACGTTCAATAAGTAGTTTTATCCGACCTTGAAAATATTTCGCTATTAGATTCAGAAATAGGTACAGAGTGATTTCAAATTGAAATATTGAAACTGGGCATCTTATAATTTTATAGAACTCACGGAATTTGGCTTTTATTGTTAATTATTGTTTTCCTCCTTATATATTTTGTTGTTTTATATTCGTTAGATGAGTGCATGTATTTGAAGTTCAACTGTGATAGCTTGGAAAGGACAAATTGTTTGTGTCCTCACGAAGAATATTTTGCTCGAAATTCTTATATTTTATACACAACAAAACTCGAACATTCAAAACATTTCATCACACGGCGGCCTTGGCATCATCCAAATATTAACGGTGACCGTCTACAGAAGTTGAGAGATCTATCATCAACTACATAGTACTGTCAGTTTCAAGCCTCTTTTCGTAATTCTGGGTTATTTTTGCATTTGTGAGCTGGGTGTTATAAATGGGTTGGTGTTATTTATGGTAGTGGAGTAATTGGTCCTTTATACATATAAGAACCAGTATCAGTGACCAAACGATACTTTTTCGATACAACATCAGAAGTTTGTGGTTATATTACTATTCGAATATAATTTTTCACATAGGAGTTACCAAGGCAATTAAAGTATGTTTAAGCTCCTTATAAGATATTGTAGATTGAACTTTATCTAATGGCGTACTGCAACTCGTACCGCTGTCTGTTAGAGAAAAACCGAGCTATTCAACTACAGATGCACTATTTGAGTAATTTTAAAGCAAAATAAGGTTCCTCACAAACCTCCTTATAGGTGGAATGTTTGTCTGTGGGGAGAAGTGAGATTTAAGGTGGTGGGGATTCCAAAAACTTATAGAATGTTCTTATGACATTGCAAAATGGTCGACATTATGGTGACGTTAGTTCTATATTCTGAATCCCAAATCGACGCCAATATTTTCAAAAAATGTATGTTTGTTGCGCCGTTTTCATGCAAAGGTTTGGATAATGCACAAAATCAACGAGTTTTCAACTCATGTTATGTTGCAACAAGTTGAGTTACCTTGTCATTACAAAAGGCTAATTTGAAAGTGTCTAGATGACAATTATCCAAGCCTGTCGTAGGCAAACGTGGTTATTTAGAAAAGCCCACTAAATCACCTGGTATGACTCCTCTAAACGTTTTCGATGGGATAAATAAATCTGAATTGTACGATATACAACCACAGTCTATTTCAAAACTCGTGGATAAAAAAATAGGTGCTTGAAACAAATTCATTCCAGGAAAATTTCATAATAATAAGAATCAAATTTGTAAACAGACTCCATTATTGTCAGGAAGTGAATGGTAACCAATTCAAATATTTTCTGGAATGAACTGAGGTGACTTTAGAATACATTTTTCCTTATAATTATGATATTCATCGTTTGTTTNTCTTCATTGATTTTCAGAGATTCTAGCAGGTTTAATTTTTGTCCTTTATTTTCTGTCGTAGTCCATGTTGAAATTTTGGTTATTCTCTAAAAGGTGATAGGTGGATAGGATTGATGGGTGGAATTAGTTTTTGTACAAAAAGTAACAAAGATAACAAATCAGGGGTCTACAAACTAACATGTGGATCATGCCCAAAAGTGTATGTAGAAAGAACTTCAAC